TTCTATGTATATATGTGTGTGTGTATATATGTATATATAGAATGAATGATGACCATCAAATCACATCGTTAGCTGTTCTACAGCCAAAGCATGTCAGCAAAAAAACCCTTCCCAGTACCACAGTCCTGTGGCGCCAGAAACTGTGAGAACAAGCCATGGCTTAGATGGAAATGTTGTCCCAAGTAATTGAATAATCTCTTCTGAAGAGAGTCTAAATTTTATTTTTTTTTTGTGCCCACACTCTTATTGTTTCAAATGTAAAATAAAGATGTCATTTTCCAGGCATTTGAAAAAAAAACAAGAAAAACCCATCAGCATTACAAAGGAATAAATATTGGGATGGTACCAGGCTGAGTTGCTGGCAGTCAGTGTGATGGGTGTGTTTCTGGAAGGGAAAGAAATAGGCCAGCTTTTTCTCCGCATAACCACAGTCATTGTCTATCGTAAGGGCCTAATTGATTGATAAACTGTTAGAAACATTTCTTTTCCTCTTTTTGGTAAAAGCTGTGATCTGCTACCAATTTGTCAGCTTGTTCTTTTAGCTCACCCCTTAAAAACAAACAAACAGAAAACCCCATTTTTATAATTGAGATTCCTCATGAGAGCCGGTCATTGTTTTGAAGCTTTCAACAAAAAGTTAAGATTAATGGTGTGCGTTCCCAGATGTTACTCTTTCTAAGTTCATTTATCCCAGAATAAAGACACTTGTTTCTAAAAATACATGGTAGAAAGCTGTCTCATAAAACAGCATCAAAGCTTACTTGGTTTTGTTGGTATTTAATTTTTCATTACTCTATCAAAGTTTTGCCCACAGATCTCTCTGTAATCATTCAGATTTGCAACAAGCCATTCTTTCAGTAACATTTGCATTAGGCTTACACTAGTCTTCCTTTGGGGGCTTGTTTTCATTTACCACACTTGTACTTCCCATCCTGAATCATAGCAGCCATTTAAAAACTGATGGTGAAGTTGGCTACTTCACTTTTTTACAAAGCACGGCACTGTTTTGCCACAAAGCATAAATCTTCCATCAGTACCGTCTCATGTCACCAGGAATCACTAAGCATTTATTTCTTCCAAATGGCACCAATGGCAAGTTTATGATTTTGTCACTGGTGCTATTCATTACAAATTTATTAGAAACTTCACAAACTTGCCATTAGCTGAAACAATTCTTAGAAATGCAATGCAGAGCCATTAGGGGATGCAATGCGGGGCAAGCAGGGGATTCGTTCTTTCTACAGTCATCAGAAATTCCCTGAAAAGCCTAAATATCGTCTCTTTTTCCAAGGAGATACTTTATCAGAGTGTTGTGCTGAGCACCTCAGTCCCAGACTCCAGTTAAAAAGCCTCCAGAACTGTTTCCCGCCTCATCTGTTTGCAAAGTTTGTGCAATTATTTATACAGCATGCTGTTTTTTCTTCAAAGAGAAATTCCCCAGGACTCTATTTTTAACAGCAGTGAAATACCAGCAGGCCAGCTTTTGAGAACATCCCTATGAGAGCAAAATGTTATAGTCACTGCTATAGTTACAAATGCCTCTGACTCAGGCGTGTCCGGGACAAGCGCTGGGAGAGATTGAGGATGGGCAAGATTCCTGCCCTGGCACATGAAAAACTTCATGCGATGGTATAAGAGAGCATCCAAATAATTGTTCTGGGGGAAAAACTGGTGGTCAGAGTCCTGGATAATGATCCCAGCAATGATCTTCTGGCCACCTGAGGGGTCTAGTGAGGTCATCAAGGGCCTTCCACTGACTTCAGAGCAAGTTGAAAATAACTGTAGGTGAGGTTGGGAGCTCTTTGCATCCTTTTTTCCTCATGTTTCTATCTTAGGAGGCTCTGGGATTTAAAGAGAAGACTAAAATGAAGACAGCAGATTTATTGGCTAAATATTGTTGTTCTTGCCTAACTCAAAAAGCCAATTCAATTTGACTGAATAAGAACTGTGAGCCTTACCATTATAGTTGTAAATGTGCGGGGGGTTTAAATAGTGAAAGTGCTGTGAAATCTCTGTAGGAAGCCACAAAAGCATATATTTCCTTTACTGTCTTGGCATTCCCACCCTAAGGTTGAAAAGACTATTTGAGAACTTCTGAATGAACAAAGAAGTGAAAAAATAATCTGAGTTAGCTGTGGTCTCCTTCTTACCTTTTATTCCTATTCGTAAGAAGGGAAAAATATCCTTACTTTGGTCCTTAATAATAGCAGTCATGAACCAGAAGCTTGGCTCCAAACTCTTTCCAAATTTTAAGACCAGTTGCATGCAGATCAGCTGGATAGTACTGACAGTTTTATTCAGAGAGATACAAGCTCTTCCCAGTTGTGTTGTGAGATTTTTGGAAGGGAAAAGGAGGAAGATGGAGGTTCAATGTTGTGCTTCAGCAAGTGTCCAGACATGAATGCAGTTATTTCTGACTTGAGTGTGACAAAGGACCATGGCGAGTATGTCAGAATGACATCCACACATAAGCAAAAATCTGGTTTCCAATTCTGCATCAGGCTCACAATCCAATCCAGGTTTACTCAGGACTCCCAAAACTGCCAAATTTCAGGTGAATGTAGGTCAGATTTCAAGTTTGCCTGGATTCTCAGAAGGGACTTGTGATTTCACGTTGAAATTGCACAAAACTCTCTGGCTGCTTTTGTAAAGGTCCAACCCAGAAACAAAGAAAACATATCCTAGTTTCCAGAGTTTTGTTCTAACCTGAAGTTTCAGCCAGTTTTGAATTCAGAATGTCTAATTTCTACAAACAGTAGATGATCTCAGATGAACCAAAATCACTAAGTATTATACACTGTACAACTTTGCATATTCATTTCATGGGAATGTATGTCATAACACCAACATTATTTCTAAACATGACCCCCAAATCATCTTTCATATGAGCACATTCTTCAGGATTTGATGGATCGTACTTAAAAACAAAAAGCTACACCAAATCCTTTCCAGTGATCCTTAGCTTTTGAAAGCAATATGATGCATTAATGATTACAATGAATATATATGTGCATATAAATAACTACCGAAAAATGACAACATCAAAAAAGTGAGTACATTCCAAAGTACTATTTATAAAAATGTGTATTTGGGGGGAAAAAAAACACCTATATTGTCAGTATTTACAAGCCTTTTTATTCCTATCTCAAAAACATCAAAGTGTTATCATTTTGGTTTTGCAAGAACATTTGCAAAAAGTTAAGTTTTTAGAAATGTCAAAAGAAATGCATTTGCATGGATGCTGCTTCCAGAAATATCTGCAAAAACACACACTCCTTTGGTTTGCTTATGTCCCCCTGCTTATGAAAGTCTGATGAAGAGTAAAAATATAATTTGCTTAATAAGAATCAGCAATGTGGTCTAGTGATTAATGGACTATATTTAGAACTGGGGGACCTGGGACCAGTGCCTGGCTGAGATACTGAGCTGCCTTCTGTCCTTGGGCAAGGGACTTCCCTGTTCTCCATCTATGCATCTACTTCTGCTCTTTGGTCCCTCTTTCACACCTAGACTGTAACATGTTCAAAACGGGACGCGCATCAGCATCTCCATGGCACAGGGCCCACCACAGAGGGCTGCCAGTTTAAGCAGGGATGAGAATGCATCTAGCAGTACTAAATGCTCCCTTGCAAGTTTAACATGTGGCTTCCTTCTTCTTTTGTATCCAAACACAATGCATGACGCTGAGGTGAAAGGCCAAGGCTAAGAGAAGTGATCAGGCCTGGAACTGGTCTTCCAAGCTGCTGCTCTTCCAAGAGCACCTCATACAGCAGTATGAGGTGATCTTACACCCGTGGCAGCAAGTTTGGGGAAAAAAGGTTGTGCCCTTCTTAAGGATGCTTTTCTGTCTGCTCTTTAGTCAGCTCTTTCCTTCACATCTGGATACGTCAGTATCAACCATCACTGGAGTATCAATCCTGTCTCTACACTGGAGATTATGCCCCATAACTGAACTCTTTCGCCCTGTTGAGTTTATATGGCGCTTTCATCCCAAGGGATAACTGCCCGTACACCACCTTCCGTTTCAGTGCACAGCCAACTGCAATCCCCAGGAGGTTCTGCTGCATGGACTGAGTGTTAATAAGCAAAATAGAGGCAGTAAGATAATTGTACTGCTTCTGGTACCACCAGTGCAACCATCTCTGCCCACTGCAGTGCCTAGTGCTCGGTGTAAGACTGAAAGCACAGGCTGGTGTAGAGGAGAAAATTTCAGTCTAACTTTGGGGGCTAGGTGTGGACAAGGGTAGAAGCAGCATTTTTTACCTGTGGGAAAGCACATTGAAGGTATAGTAAAATCTCTCCTGAGGTAGGTATGTATTATGCAGAAAGATTTGTTATACTTTTTAAAGGGCAAGCTTTGAGAGCTATGAGGATTGTTGTTCAACAGACATAAATCAGCATAGCTCCGTGATGTTTATTGTTTCCATTCCAAGCAACTCAGCCATGGTTGTAGACGTGAAACTGTTTCTTCTTCCAAAGTGACACTTATGCAGCTGTCTGTAGCCCGCCAGTGCGAAACGGACAATTGTGCATTTGCTATGAAGTGTGTATTTCATTAGAGCTGTGGTCAAAGAAGTGTTTTGGGTTTGGATGGAATAAACAGCTACAAGCGCTGTGGGAGTTTAGCAATGCAGACACTCAGTCCTGTCTCATCACAAGCCTCGACATCTCTTGCTAGATTTTTGCAAAGGAGATGAAAAGCAAAGATTTATCGTTATGCCAAACAGCTCCAGCAAAGTCCTCTCTGTTATCAGTGGGACTGGAAAGAAGGCTTAGGAAGCAGGAAGGTTTAGGAGAGCATCTATAATACACGGTCAGCTCTGAATAAAAAGAAACAGCAACAAAACTTAAACATTAGATGCCATCAGGTAACTTGATGTGGGTGTGGGATAACAGCAGAGAGAGGGGTAAGTTCTCGGGGAATGTCTCCTGCCACCAAGCCAGCCTCCCCCCGTCCTCCAGCGCACACGTTTCCCCATCCCTCGTCCTTTCTGGAATACCTTTCTTCCAGCCTCATTGTTGTGCAAGTTCATCAGCCTCCGTGCATTCTTTTTGATTTCTCGGGCATCAACAAACCTCCGGGAGAACTCAATGCCGTATCTGATATCCGCAGAGCAGCCTCCCCACTTCCAGCCCTCCTCCTGGTTGTAGTAGCCCTGTTTCTCTCGGTCACAGCCACAATTGCTGAGGTTGCCCTGGCTGCAGGCGGCCGTGACAGCATGTGCAACCCCAGCAGCAGTAATGGCATAGGTGAACGCAGCTTCCCTGCTTCCTGTGGAGAGAAGCCAAAAGCTGATGGGTTGGCAGAAAGGCAGCACGCACTTACTAAAGAAAGTACACACATTATCTACAGCAACGGTGTCAGGCAGCAGTGTGAGGAGGGCATTACTACTAAGTGTGTATTTCTCATTCTTACAGAATTACATACGTATTGAAAATGCTTGGCTCAACTGGGGCACGTTACCCCAGGTAAGCATCAGCCATATGATAGTCCCACCTAACCTCCTTCACCAGAGGGGAATTTGGCAATGAGTCTGGACAGTGGTGAGGTGAGGCAACAAGATTTGTTTTTACACTGTCTAGCCAGGTTTGCAAGCTGAACTTTATCTATTTCAGATGAATAATAAGCGAGTCACTGGCGGCAGTGCTCACTGGAAAACAATAGTTACCTCTAACCATTGGCACTGCATGTAAAAAAAAAAGCGTTCAGACAACGTAAAAAATACCAGACCCTTTCAGATGTGGGAGAGGGCTAGCACACAAATGGGGAAGATTATTAATCCACCTTTGTAAATGCTCCAGTAGCGTCCATTAGTGATGCTGAGTGTAAAGTATTGCAAGAGAGGCCTATAGAGACAAGAGCTGGGTAGGTTTTGTTTCCTTTCAAGGTAAAGTAGAGGCTAGCCCTTTCCCTCGCGGACTTCTCTTGCATATTACTTTTGCTGTAACAACCCTTTTCCACTCCCGCTCGGAGTCAAACCTCTGCATTACCTTGGTTATTCAGCATGCAAGGGGTATGGAAGTGCTGTGGCAGCATTATTTTCTCTCCAAAACAAGTGAGATACTGTCATGGAAGCACAGCCTTGTTCAGAAAAAAGTCTTTTTAGAAAAAAAGTTCTTTTATTTTTTCTATGATGCCACTACTTGCCAAGGTTCTTCATGCCCAATTCCATGTTATAGCTGTTCATGTTGCATATACAGAGAGAGATAAATAAGCTTTCTTTCTTTACTAGACACTAGTTGGCTGAGTTGCCTGTGGGCTGCACGTAAGCAAGGAGATAGAGAGGCAGAACGATGGAAAGGGATGCTACAGCCCTTTCCTGTTCTCATGTGAGACCACACTCTGTCACCGACTTAAGGTAGGGCTGGATCATGGCTCATGGTGTTTTGCTGTTCTTATTTATAACGTTTCCC